TCCCACCGAGAGGGAAGCCCGGAGGCTTTCCTCTCCCTTTCTTCGTCCTGGCCACGGGGACGAGTTCTTTCTCCCATCCTCCACACCTAGGGACCAAGAGGCCACCGTGGCCTAAGGGCCAGCGCTCCACGTATCCCGGGCAAAAGGCCTTGCTCCTTTCTGCACCACATGGAGATGCCCCGTGTAGGGGGCCTGGCAACTGCACTTTTCCTTAAATGAGCGGTTGTGTTTCTGGATACAGACCTGTGGCCATGTAAAGGTGTGATGTTGCATTGCAGCCTGCTTGCAACACCTCTCCATCTGTCCCTCCCTTTCTCTGTCTACACATCTGTATGTGAGTGTTTTATCCATTTATTAATCTAACTGCAGATGGTCTCAGTCTTCCCCTTATTCAAGAACTCTGATCTAAGGTTTGCCAAAAAATAAGCCAAACAGTAATGTAAAGCATTGTTTGTTAGCTTTTTCAGGTAGATATCAGATTCTGTTTTCAATAAATTGAGGAGCTAATCTATAAAGATAGATTTGGAAAATGTAGTTTAAAAAACACCATTTCGTTGGATTTTTTTCCAAATGGTGTACAAGAATGACAGTTGTCTTTCAGGGTTATGTTAAAAATTAGTGATGTTTTCCATTTATTGACCTTTGAAATCTTGCCTTTGCATCTGAAATCTATGAAAAACCCACAAAACCAGCAAGCATATAATAAGATTTACTAGTTTCTCAGGTTAACTCTTGGAAAACATTTTCATGAGAGAGGAGAGGGCTGTTTTCCTTCCTTGTTTGGTCACCTTTACATGAATGTTGCGTTCACTTTCTGTCATATAGAAAGTCATCTAGAGTTTCACAGAATTGCTATGGTTGGAAAGGACCTTTAAGATCATTGAGTCCAACTATTATCTAGCTCTACCAGGCCACTTCTACACCATATCCCTGAGGACCCTATCTAGACAGCTTTTAAATACATCCAGAGATGGTGATTCAACCACTTCCCTGGGAAGCCTGTTCCAGTCCTTGATAACCCTTTAAGCGTAGAAGTTTTTCCTAATGTCTAACCTAAACTTCCCCTGGCATAACTTAGTGCTATTTCTTCTTGTTCTGTCAGTTGTGACAGGTAAGAAGAGGCCAACACCCACCTCCCTACAACCTCCTTTCAGGTAGTTGTAGAGAGTGATAAGGTCACCCCTCAGCCTCCTCTTCTTCAGGCTAAACAACCCCAGTTCCCTCAGCCACTCCTCATAAGACTTATCCTCAAGACCCTTCACCAGCTTTGTTGCCCATCTCTGCACCCTCTCCAGAACCTCAATGTCCTTCTTGTACTGTGGTGCCCAAAACTGAACGCAGTACTCAAGATGTGGTCTCATCGGTGTTGAGTACAGTGGGATGATCGCTTCTTTAGTCTTGTTGACTAGACTATACAGGCCAGGATGGCATTGGCCTTCTTGGCCACCTGGGCACACTGCTGGCTCATGTTCAGCCAGCTGTCAATCAACACCCCCAGGTCCCTTTCTGCCAAGCAGCTTTCCAGCCATTCTTCACCAAATGTATAGCTTTGCATGGGGTTCTGTGGCCCAAGTGCAGGACTTGGCACTTGGACTTGTTAAAGCTCATACAATTGACCTTGGTCCAGCCTGTTCAGGTCCCTCTTAAGGGCCTCCCTACCCTCAAGCAGATCAACACACCCAACTAACTTGCTGTCATCAGCAAACTTACTGAGGGTGCTCTCAGTCTCCTCATCCAGATCATTGATAAAGATGTTAAAGAGGAGTGGTCCCAACCAGATTTAACTCCATTCACCACAACTCTCTGGGCCCGTCCATCCAACCAGTGTATGATCCAGTGGAGTGTGCACCTATCTAGGCCTAGGGCTGCCATTTTTTTGATGAGAATCCTGTGGGGCACAGTATCAAAGGATTTACTGAAGTCGAGATAAACAGCATCCACAGCCTTTCCCTCATCCATTAATCAGGTCACCTTATCTTAAAAGGAATGAGGCTTGTTAAGCAGGACCTGCCCTTCATGAGACTGCTAAAGTGAAAACTTGTGTAGCCGATAGGTACAGCTTTGTAAGGGAAGGCCTGGTAAAATCATGGCTCCGGCCTGTAACTTAAGCTAAGCAGAGAAGGGCTCTGGGAGAGTGACTCAGCTAGAATAGAGGAGGCGAGGCATGCTGTGTGTTTGCACCGTGGTGTTTGGTTAAAATGGGTTTGTTGTGCCTAAAAAGTATGTAAACTAATGGTCAACTAATGGCATAAAAAGGATGTTTTTTTTGTAAATAAAGTTCCTCCTTTGCACCTGCCTGGGGACTCCGTGCTGCTCTGTGCCGCCCATATCGACATATCTGTATTTAAGGAAAAAACAATAAAAACAATATATTTTAAACATACTGGAAGTTTATTTATGCTATAAGTAAAAGCATATTTAAAGTGCAAAAAGTTATATATTCTGTGTGTACATGTACTAATTTAGCAATTTCTAAGAAAAACTGTTAACAAAAACCTTTCAGAACACCTGCAACAGGCAAGAATTCCATCCGGATCACAAGATAAAGTTTCAGTTCCTGATTCTGGAGCAGAAATGGCTGAATCTCAGGTGGCTGTAGCTCCTGTGGTAATGTCAAAGTTGTCTGTTAAAGCACCTGAGTTTTATCCACCAGGATACAACCAGAACTTCAATCAGAACTTCACAGTGAGTGTTTATCTTCTCTTCTTCTTATATGCCAATTTATTTATATTCAAATTAACAATGTTTTCTTGAGATATTGTGTATCAGATAAATTTAATGCTGCATTTGCTGAAGAGTCCAAAAATTTGGGTGATAAACTCCAGAGATACAGTCAGAATGTCAAGTGATAATGAGTGAATATTATGCTGTATGTGAGAGCCTTTAGTGTGGAATATTTTGCTAAAGCCTGCTGCAGATAACCATGTTCATTGTTGGTTACACCAAACATCAGAATAAGCTGTCTTTTTGGCAACTGCCTCTGTTGTAGTTACATCTACACTGCGTTTTAAGTAAAACCTTAGCTGCAGTTTTATTCAGATTTTGCAGATTTTTGAAGCAAGTGTGAGAGAAAGCTTGAACTTTAGCTTTTCTAAGCACAGGCTTTACCTTTCCTGAATTTACTGTGCCATGGGTATGATTGGCCATGACTGCCTAACTTTATGTACCATCATGTGTCTTTTAATTCCTTCAGTGATATTGTATCACCAAAGAGCAAAAAGGTAGGGTTGGGCTCATTGCTAGTAATTAACCTACCCACATACCTAATCTGAAATATATTTGCAGCCAGATCAAGGGTAATCCCTGTGTCTTCCATATTATTGCTACAGTAATTCTAGTCTAGGGAAGATCTATGTGAATTCTTGAAATATACTTTTGTTATGCAGGAAGGCAAACTCTGGTACTATATATAAATAGGTGGGAACTATTACTTTTACAAATACAATCAAGTGATAATAAACAATTATACTGAAACAAATAGATTTTTAATAACTTACAGAAAAATACTTGATTTGAATGCTAAACATGGTAGTTTGGTGTTTTGAAGTTTTTTTCCTCACCAGTAAAATTGATGTTATCTTCGTGTTACCTACTTTACCAGCTTACTGGATAAAATTGCTGTTCTGGATAATACAAGCCTGTTGCCAATATACAACTGTTGACAAATGCCGATATGAACATACTTCAGTGAATGAATAATCTAGGGGAAAGAATACTGCTTTGCCCCAGTACATTACATATTTTCTATAAATAAAGAAAAAATGCCATTTTGAATGGCACGTGTGTACATACATATAATTACAAAGTTTTGAGGCCAGCAACGTTGCTTTTCAGCTGTTTTGCAAAAACGCACAAGCATGTGGGGAGTTTCTAGTTGCTATGTTGTAGGAATATGTTATGAATACAAGTGACATGTATTAATGTAATTAATGAAAATAACTCTTAAAATGCTAGCAAAACCTAGAACATTTATTTGAAAGTATGTTGCAAGGACCCTAATCTAATCAGAGTATATTAGGCATAGAATAGCGATGTTTCAGACTTGTTAGTCCTTCACTATTACAAAGTCTGGGGTTTATTGTATTGGGTTTTTTTACTGTAATGACCTAAATAATTTAATAAACTGTGTCCAGTGGTCCAGCCTCAGCAGTGGGTTTTCTTTCACTGATATAGGATTCTTCCTTTGAAGATGGATATGATGGCTATCTGACTTCGGCAGAATATGTACAAGACTTCCTAAATCACCTTGCTGAGCAACCAGGTTGTTTTGAAACTGAAATAGAACAGTTTGCAGAAACACTGAATGGCTGGGTCACTGCAGATGAAACTTTGCAAGAACTTGTTGAACTCATCTATCAGCAGGTAGCCTGTGTATTCTGTCTTATAACATGGATATTATGTCTTTGTTACCAAAGATATGCATACTGGTATTATTTGTTATATCATTGTACCTACATAGTATTTTAATAGTTTGAATTTTTCTTTCTAGACTGAAATGTAT